AGAAAATGGTATTTATTATGCATGAAAAAGCATATAAAATATCAACTGCACTGATAAAACAGCTATATTTAATATTCTCTAAGTGGACATTCCCCATATAAACTTTCAATTATAGAAATAACTATTAAGTAAATTAGCTGCTGGTAATTATTTTCTTATATCAATAATCTATAAAAAGCAACTGAAATATTTATAACTCAAAAAGATCTCTTAAAATAATTTTATAAAACAACTTTTTATACATGATTCAGTGTTAGACAACAAATGTAAACTCCAAAAATCAGCTTTCTTTCTCTCTCAAAAAAAGTTACACTACACATGTCTGTAGGTTAATGATGAAAAAAAGCATTTATTTTACATAAATATTTTTCAAGATAATCTTTTAACTCTTGTCCATTAATTACATAAATTTAACATTATACAATGAAAATTTCAGATAAAAATTCAGTTAATAATTATGTCAGGCTTTAGACTTATTGATTCATTCTCTTAGTTTTACTATAATTCACTCATTCAGAAAAATTATCAAAGCCATACATTTTACTCTAATCTTAAATTACGAGGATTAAAGGCATTATATAGAAGACTTGAATCAAAACTGATTATGTTCAAAATGTATCATTCAAAGAACTTTGCTCAAATAATGGATGTCATTTAGTAATCAAAAATTATAGAATTTCACATTAGGATCATTTATAGTTAATACTAACAGAACCATCAACACTCAACACAGGTTACAAAAGTTGTTTTACATAAATTAAAAATACCAATGGGAAAATTTTTAATAGTAAAAAGTGCATTATTTACACTCTGAGTATTATCCTCATCTGTTGTTACCATATTTCGCTCATTGTGATCTCCATTCTTCATCAAGTACTTGCTGATTTGGATAACCTTCAGGAAAATATCAAACTGACCCCTTTATTTAATCTACAGGAGTAAATTGTTCTCACTCCATTGTCTATGTTTATTTAGTTATGCTTAATTATTGCACACCGTTTTCACCAAGTCTGCAATACTTAACTCAGGGATTGAACTCACAATTACCATGTCATCAATGCTTTAACCCACTATGCTATTGTTCTATGGTAGAATCCTGAGTCTAGAATTTAGAACCTTAAGCCTAATCAGCTTCCTGCTGCTGCTTGGCACAGCTGACAGCATTCACCAGGTCTTCCCTTACTAATGTTGCCACTGAAGCTTTGTTGTCACTATTACTTTTTTTACACTAGGCCTACTAGAGGCTATCATGCATTAAATAAAGGGTTCAGTTCAAAATTCCTTGAAGGTTACCTGGATTGAAAAGTACCTGGAGAAGAATGAAGAGTACAACAGACAAAATGTTGTGATAATAGCAAAAATGATGAAGACCATAGTCTGAGCATAAATAACGTAACCAATGCTAACTCCTCTCCGCACACATTCAGGCATAAAGAATAGAGTTTCAGTTAGTATAAATAAAGACAAACCTAGAAATGATTGATCCACATCCCATCAAATAATATCAAAAATGCTTCATATGTGTATTTTAGTAATTTCTTAAAAGAAAGGGAGCCTAATAAGAAACATTTGTTAATAAGTTTTGGAATGAAAATCATCAAAGAAATATTTATCTAGGCAGCCTATGATATTTTCTATTAACACTGTATATTAAATTACATTTTCTGTTGACCAAGTACAATAACCTTAACAATGAATGCTACTTAAATGCAAACTATTTAAACTGATGCAATAGTTTCAATGACTAAAATGATAAATATGTTTCAAAAGAAAATTTAATAAAAAAATGTTTCCAAAAGTGAAAGCAGTGGATAATAGTCACCATATCAGCCAAAAATAAGAAATATTTACCATTAAGTAAAATGCAACAAATTTAGCACCATCCTATCAAATAGTACTTAACATAATCATGTACAACAATGGTCCTCAACCTTTTTTGGGTCAATGCACCCTTTTCAACATGTCAGAATGGCATTCCCTCCTTTCCAAGATGCATTCCAAATAATATGCAAATATTATTAAAAATCTTCATTCTTTGCCATATTAGTACATATATATGAATTTTTTTTTAAAAAGGAGTTTTTTTTGTTTTAAAAAAAAAAAAAAAAAAAATATTAATGAAAGACTTCAAATTCTGTAAATAAAAAAAAATGAAAAAAAAAAAACACCCCCCTCCTGAAACTCTGGGATAACCCCTTGGTTGAGATCCCCTGATGTACAGTATGAATTCATATTGTCTCTATAAAACTTAAAAAATGGCATAATTATATAAGTGATGAACATAAGCAGATTATTGATCTGAGCTAAAGATTGAAACAATGTAACTTCTTAATTTGAACTGCGCATAAAAAAATAAAAACACAACACCGAGATCACAGAAAAGGAAAATATCCCAAAATATTTGAACTAAAATTTCTGGACTAATAGTCTAGAAATTCTAGTTTAGTTCAATACCCAAGATTGTTTATAGATTAAATTAATTACTTTCTCAGCTACAGAGTGAAAATAGACAAATGGGCAGTGAATACACAAAAAACCAATTAACATTTTCCACAATAGTTATACATTGTAATGCATGCATTGTACTAATATATGAGTGTTTAAAAAAAAGATTTATCTAAAATATATAACACTTTATAATTTACACTAAAACTATAAAAAAAGATGTGGAGTACAAAGAAAATTAAAAAATAGGCTGCTCAGTAATCAGTGGTCTCAGAAAGTTGCTTGACATCATGATAAACACTGTTTTATCACAAAAAAGAACAAGCTGAGGAGATAATGAAAGACATACTGAATTTCACAAATTCAAAGAAGTATAATAAAAAGAGAGGGAAATTGTCAGGCCTTCAAAACTGAATCAATAAACGATACAGGAACATAAAGAAATGAAAGAAAAAAATTTTAGCAAAAGAAAAAAAAAATTTTAAAAAATTGATACCAAAAATAAAATTAAAAAGAAGAAACTACAAAACATTAATATGAAAGTTTTGGCTTTTTTTAACTTTAAACGTGAATGATGGGACGAGTGGAAAAACAATGAAGAGGAGGCAAAGGCAGACAAGGAACAGTTTTAACAAACTTAAAAAACAAACAAAAAAAAATTTAAAAAAAAAAAAAAAAAAACCAAGAACAAGCTTCAAATTCAACTGCAAACAAAAATTGTACAATATTAGCTAATTATATTTTTTTATTAAATTATCCAGCATTATTCAAACTGTTCCCTGTAATATGAATGCAACAGACGGGCAACTTGTCAACTAAAGAAAACAAAACTTCTACAATAAAAACATTTACATAAAATAAAGCTGAACACATTAAAACAAAAAAGTAGACAGCAATGAAGAATGAAATAATATTTGTTAAGCAGTAACAGCTGTTGATAGAAGTTTCTATTTTCTTTTCCTATATTCAGTGCATAGAAATTATTTTCATAATAAACCTTGACATTGACCCATATTTAGATTTAAATCCCAAAGCAATGCAGAGATGAACAATGATCATAGTTCTTTTAATACATTAAACTACTGACTAAAAATGTATTTGCTATCAAGTAAAACCTAACAATTTATAACTTGCAGCAAAATTAAGGATACTAAAATCTACAAAAAGACATCAAATGCTCAATCTGTTTATTCCTTTATTGAATTGCTTTTCAACAGAATTAAGAATAATAAAAAAAAAACTATTATAAATATAAATTCAGTAATTAAACACTATTAGGTGCTACTATAGTATGCGGTCTACCTCATTTACTACTATAGTATGTGGTGTACCATGCTATGAATTATACCGTGACCTCACCTCTCATGCTATCTACCATGATGAATTCTACTATCACCTCACCTCTCATGTGTCCTGTCCATATAAAAGGAAGGAAAAGGAACTCCCAAATCAGAATCCCCTGGCCTGAGAACAATCTGCTAAATACACTATAGTGTTAGATAGCTTGGTAGACTGAATACTATAGTAGTAAATGAGGTAGATCACATGCTATAGTGTTTGATACCATGGTAGACCATATAACATAGTTGCACCCACTATTATCTGTTCCATATTACATTTAGTGTATGAAATGTGCATGCAAGTGTAACAACTATTATGGGACAGAGATAATAATTTATATGATCCACAACTGGCTGCATTTAAGTAATTTCAGGTATAAACACAAATCTAAAATTAGTGTTAAATTCAAGGTTAGTGTCATGATAATTTTAGAATCTCAAATATCAAAAAGCCTACAAGTTATCAAAAATAAGACCACTCAAGATATAAGAAACAGAAAAGATAACAAATCTATGTTTGCTTCTCAGAAGAAAATATTATTTTTTACATCATTTAAATGTTCAAAAAAAAAAAAGTGGAGAATTAAATTAAAAATCTACTAACTTAAATATGATAAGAAGCATTAGTAATGTACACATAAAAGCATCTGTTAATAGCAGTGAGTTAAGTAGAGAAATATCTTAGCATGAAAATATTTTCATTAACATCTAAAGTAACTCATCTTCAAAGATTAATACTATCAACTGAAGGGAATGAAGAAAGATACATTTCAATTAAGAGCCTTTAACATCATGATTTTCTTTAAAAAAAAAAAAAAAAAAAAAAAATTATATATATATATATATATATATGTCTATCCAAAATATTATTTTTATTAAGAACTAGAAATAATTTTTTAAAATAAAATCCATGAAAAATAAATTTAACATTTTACTGTTATTTTATATAAAATGCTAAAGTATTTAAATCATTTCTTCTTTTTCAAACTCACATAATAAAATTCTTCAACAACTTGAATATTGTAAATAAAAAGGGTATGGAAACCTATTTGCAACATTGGCAAAATATAAATAATATTGAAGAGTATTTTCTTTTAATTCTTATCAAATACTTTTCTATCCAAAATCAACATATTTTGATGGAAGATTAAAGACAGGTTGAGGGTAGTAAAGACCAAATGTTACAAATGTAACAAATCCACTAACATCACCTACCTCTCCATACATATCTAGTCGGTTGACTTTGACACCAGATATGGCCCACTGGCTGATGGAGAACTGCACCTAAGGAAGAGAAACCCAAACATGACAAAGAGTAAAATAACAAGGGAGAAAAAAAAATAGAAATGCACTAATCAAAGAAGCAGGAGATTCTTTGGCTTACCTCAAGCTATTTTATAGCACATGAAGAATTAAAAGATAATGGTTCCACCATTTATAATCAAGGCAATTTCTACTATAGACATATTCATTTCAAAAGAAATGTATATTTACTATATGTATATACATAGATATTTTATAGAAATACATGAATGTATTTAACAAAAGAAAGTTCTTCCTGGTGGTATGTGACAAAAGGGTATTCTATCTTACCAACCAAGAACTGATCTAATGATCTGTTTCTAAAGGTATTTTTATATACCTTAAAAGCTACAAACATATTGTTAAAATTCAAGTTTAACCCAGCATTATCTGTAAAGTGATCATTATTTTAGTAGATGTACATCAAACTACTGACTTAAATTTCCTGTTTGTAATACAGTGGTTTAAATCATGGTCTCAACAAAAGGATAGATTTCATCTTTCCTAAATGCTCACATATTCAGTTGAATTTGGTCAACTAATTCACTATGTGAAAAATTATTGAATAAATAAAAAAAGAAGCAATGAAAAACTTTGTAAAAATGTTTCTATCTAGAAATTATGTTTAATGACTTAATTACAACATATTAGTTATTCTGATAAAATTCATTTCTGCATTACAATGATTGCCAAGATTAAGAAAAAAAAATTAAAAGATAGAAACTAATCATCAAAAGAAAAAAAATAAAACACACACACACACACACACACTTATGATATAGTTCTGAAAAGCACACAATCCAACCAAGAAAGGATTTTTTAAAATTTTCATATGCAATCATTTTGGTAAGTAACTCAGGTCAAGAATTTTTCAGCACACACTCATTTTTTTTTTTTCAACAGTGCAAGGTACTTACTGACATTGTAGGGTTAGACTCTGGAACTGGTGAACCTGTTTGTAAATTAATCTGTAAAAATAAAAATAAATGATATCTTAAAAAAGAAAAACATTATAAAACACAAAAGTAGTAAAATTAATTGTTTTTCATCAATGGAATAAAAAGCATACATAAACTGTTTCGCTCCTTAAACCTGATTGGATGTACCAAATAGCTTCAAGATTAATGAATTTCTTTAGAAATAGTACAAATTAAATTTCTCAAGAAAATTTGCACATCTAAAATTGTACTATTCAATGACAAGTGCAAAACTGCCTACAATCATTTGATTTGTCATGTGTTCAATTTTCAGAAATTGGTAACATATCTAGTGATTTGAATACAATGTTTTGTCCATGGTATGAAAAATTGTAAACACGATATTTCAGATATCAACAGTTATTGCTCCTTCACTCAATGTAATTAAAATAATGAATTTGTTCAAGGGAGATAATTAAAATAATTTACTCTTGTAACCGTAAATATTAACATAAAAAGAATTATAAATTACAAAGCTTAATTTTCACTTGAAACTTAAATTACAATAGTGAACAAGGAAAATAAATTTTAATAGCATCACCCAACATTATTCTTGAACATATTCTTTGCTGATCTTTGAAAATGTATTATTTTACAAGATCTAACCAATTACACAAAAGGTTTAAGAATTGTCCACAAATGGGACTAACTCATACCTTTTACATCTATAGAAAATTTTATAATATCCACTTTCAAATTAAATTAATAAAAACAATCAGGATTCATTTATAAAACAAAGCGCTATCATAAAAATTATCTTTTTGGGACATTCACAGGAAATTAGTAAATATTTATGTACACCCAGTAAGGAAGTTAAACAAATGACAATCCTAGAGAGAAAAGAAAAATTGATCATAGTAAAAAGGCTTTGCAGTGGCATGCCAGATACTGTTGTAAACGAGGATAAGGTCAAAGAGGCTGATGCTTTCATTACATGTTACAGAAGAATCACTGTTGCAAAAGTCTGTAAACGTCTTCAGGTGAATCATGATAGTGCTGCAGTTTAATGCAGTCTTGTTTATTCAAAGCTCAGGTACAAAATGGGTTAGAAAATTGACAGGTTCCATAAAGGAGCAGAAATCAGTTGTTACCAAAAATCTTCTGGAACTGCACAACATGGATAGCATATTCCTAAACTGAGGAGTCATGTCAGATGAGTCCTGTGTTCACAATGATGAGCCAAAGGGCAAACAAAGATTAAAGGAATAGCATTAATCAGAAAGAAGTTTAAAGGAGTAACAGAACATTCTGTTGAAAAAATGATGGCCAGCTTTTTGGGGGTAGGGGGGGTCAGAATAAAGTGTTTATGCCCACTGGTATCAATATTAGCTCTGATTCTTATGAAAGTAGATTGTCAAAATTCAGAAGAAGTAACAATTGAAGATAAGTGATGTTCTTCTACAATGTCATAATGTCATAATGCAATGCTACACAGCAGCTTAAAGATAAGCAATCACAGTGCACAGCATAATAACCTTGCCTCATCTACTCTACAATCTTTACTGTGATGCTACAGACTTTCATCTGCTTTGGTCTATGAAAAAGGAACTCAGTACAGCAGTTCTCCAATGATAAGGAGATGAAAAAAATAAGCCACAAAGAAGTATCTACAATGCTGGTATACATTTCCTCATTCAAATTTGGAATAACATGAGGTAGAAGGAAGGTGACTATGTTGGGGCTAGATTTGGAATCCAGAGCCTTTTGCAATCATTTTGGTATGCTTGTGTTGCTACTATAAAATCTGTTGTAATAAAAAAAAAAAATAAAAAATACAGCAGGTATCAGGTTTTGAGTGATCTTCACAGTATGGGAAGCATAAAATTCATGTTAAGTACTTACAGTCCCTTTAATGTTGGGGAGCTTTGTGGGATCAATTCTGCCGACATCCCAAGTCATGACTTTTGTTACTGGATCAAAGGAGTATTTTCCTTGGTTTGGAGTAAGAGTAACATTCAGGATGGATTTGGGAAATGGGACTTCTAATACAACATTTTCAATCTTAAAAGGAAAAAGAAGCAAAGAGAAAAATTAGTGAAAAATGTTTGACAAATTCAAATATTCAATTGTAACTCAAAAGAATTAACTGTCAAATATGAACTGAAAAGAGAAAAATATTTATAAATAGAAAATTAATAATCTAGAACAGTAGTCGCCAACCAGTGAATCAAAATAATAGTGATCCACCAATTTTAAAATTATACCTTTAGTGGTCAAAAAAGTTCAAAACGTTGTTGACTGCTGATCTAGAACACATGACATTTTCTTAGATTTTCTGACCAATTTTTGATCAGAGCCAAATAGTATTAAATGAAGAAAATAATAAAGAAAAAATCAGGTATAACTTAAGAAAAAAAATTGATTCATTGGAAAATTTAGAAAATGAATTTTGAACTGATAAAGATTCAGTTGCATTATTTTCAAATTTAATCTCAGTTACAATTAAATTTGTTAGAATAACAAATTGTCCATTTCAAATAAATCTTTGAAAAACTCATTCTCATTAAATAATCTGCTCTATTAAAGATGACCTATCTAAAAGTTTCACCAAGTCATCTTACACAGTTTCTATCATTAAGACAACTTTTTTGACATAAAATAGTTTAAAACATAAAGCTGTCAAGAGAGAAGGGATAAATTAAAAAATGTTTATAGTGAACAAAAAAAAAAAAATCCTTTCCTAACTTACTTTCTAAAATAAAGCTTTCTTTTTCAATGAAATATTTATCCTGGGGAATTTATTTTAATTAAAAAAAATTATCATGCTGAAAGCAATCAAAAGATGAATGGGTCAAGAATAAGAGATAAAAGAAATAGCAAGATAGAAAAATGTGCTTTTTGACAGGATGCATAAAGTCTAAGAAAGCAGAAAAAAATATTACAAAAGATGGAAGGTATACATTGAACAGTGCTTTGATGAGGAAAGAAATCTATAATAAAAATAAATTTTAAAAAAAAAAAAAAACATAGAAAAAACACATGGTATTAAAATCTGAGTTAAGATTGGCATTGGCCAAAATGGACAGAAAAAAAAAAGCAGAAAAACCAGATAAGATTGTAATAGAGATGATGCTAGCCTTAGATGACACTGGGATCTTATTGATCCAAAATGATAAATAAAATATGTGACAGCAGTGAAATCGTAAAAGTTCTCAATAGATCTATCTTCATAGCGATGTCAAAGAAACCAGATGCAAATGAATGCTAAAACTATCAAAGAATCAAACTGATGAGCCACATAACTAAACTTATTAGGATTCTAATGAATAGCACTCAGAATAGAATAACACTGGAAAAAGAACAATGTAGTGTTGTTCAAGACGAGAGAACAAGAAATGCTATTTTTATGATCAGAATATCTATAAAAGTAAGTAATAGAAATGCAGAAGGATGTATACCTGTTTCATAGATTATATGAAAACATTTAATAGTTTATAGAGTTACTTGAAATACTAGAAAAGCTTGATTTACACAAGAAAGATATTTGAGTAATCCATAACATTTATTGGGAACAAACAGCTTGCATACAGATAGCAAATGAGTTTAGTGAATAGAAAAAGGATTAAGACAAGGATGAATATTGTCACCAGATTTATTTAGCCTATATCTAATATGGGGGTGAATACTAATCAATCTCCTTTCAGTTGAAGAAGAGCCTTTAAGAAACAGATTTTTTTTTTTGCAGGTTATTTAAAACCAAAAAATATTTTTAAATTGTAACAATTTTTTTTTTAGATAATAATAATGATGTACTGATACAAATCCTACTAATTAACTCATAGATGGAGGAGAAGAGGTGGATTCATATCTTTCCCAATGGTATTTGCATGTAAGTGAATATAATAGACCCAACTGGAATTAGAACTTGTTTCTCTGATTTCCAATTCTAAGCCATCATCCATTACAGCACCCACACATCGAAGATTACAGCACCCACACATCGAAGATTACAGCACCTGATGTTCCTAAGTGGTCACCCATCTAGGTACTGAGCTTAACTTTGGTGATAGTAAGAAAAACCCAGTGTTTGAAGCAACAGCAATGTGGGTCTACTGATAAAAGTCAAGAATACAGAAAGATAGAGAATATGAACAGTGTGGAGGTTTTAAAGAAAATTGGAATACTTGAAAGATTTGAGGCATAGCAGCAAACATCATGGTACATACATGCCACCACACCTCCAACTAATCACATGGCTTTAATGTAGGAGATTTTGGCCAATCAACAATCGAGACAGAAAGATAAAGAGAAGAAAGAAGTGAATGACACTAAGGAGATGAGGAAGAGGTATGGTGGAGTAGTTTTACATTATCTGAAGCTAAAATAAAATATATACATATTCTTATTTAAATTCTTTGGGAACTCCTCATGCAGTAACAAACTTGGTCTCTTCAAAATTCTTCCAAGATAATAACATTAACTCACTGTTTTTCCCATTGTCTGTTTAGGCCCAATGGTAACATCAAACCGCCCAGCTGCACCTTCTCGAAAAGATATAGTGTGGCGTACATACACTGGAATGGCTACCATACTACAAAGAAAGAAAAAAAAACACTAATAATATTAGAGATATGAAATGAAATAAGATGCTAAATTCTATGCAAATAAAGTACTTATAAGTAAATATAAGGAGATGATTTTTAGAAAATATAAAAATGCATTTACAGTAATTATTATATTATTATATTTAAACAATTGTTTATTTAAATGTTTTACTGCAAAATAAGAAAAAAGCTAAGAAACATTGGAAAAAGAATTATCAAAAATATTTACTATTTAGTTTATATTTAACTAAAAATAATATGCTGAAGAAATAAGGGAAAAATCTTTTTTTTTTTCTGTCTACTATTGTCTCCAGCATAGACTGACAGAAGAATCTCCTCTTGTTCTATGCTGGAGACAACAGCAAATTTGTTTGTCCAATCATTGAACGTAGCAAGAGATGAACTTACAGCTCATTTCCAATATTTTAATGTTTTATCTAAACTGACTTGTAAAATTGCAACATATTCAGTGATGAATATATTACAAAGAGTTGTTTGTGGAGGACTGCACAATATTTATACTATGTAACATTGAATCTGATATTAATAAACATTCAGAAAACAAATATTTTTTTCTTTTCAGAATTGGTAAATGATTAGTACTATTTTATTTTCCAGTAATATATAAAAACAATCAAGCAATAACAAATTACTATTGGACCCTGCCATTCTTCTATACAAGTAATGACATGTTCAACAGTTTTACTGATAGATAATAAGCGAGAGTTTACATATTCAATACATATCAACTTGGAGGGAATTTGTTTTGTAATAACACTTAAAAGAAACAAACTATAATTCTGAAAACAAATTTATTTTTTTTTTTAATTTTGTTTCTCAATATTTATTACTTTTGCATTAATTTTCAAACTAATCAATATTTGAAAAATTATGAAAGTATTAACAGCAAGATGATGGATTTTAATCAGTATTTAATGAGTCACTTAATGGACTTATGCTTGGAGTTAGAAAAAGCTTTTTTCTTTTAATGATAAGGGTAATCTAAACAGGTTATTGTAATGCAGTTGCTAATAGGATTTTATTTGGATAATGTTTATGACCGAAACCAAAAAAAGCAGGATATGAAAGAATTAAGAAGAAAAAAAAAAATGTAAAAGAACAGTAAGCATTTGCATCGTCATTTAAGATAGGAAATTGTTATAGGAATGTTGTCTAAGTGGATAACTGAACAGGGAGATGAATGGGGGGAATGAATTAAAGTGGAGGGTTAGATGGAAAATTAGGGACAAAAATTATAAGAGGGGTAAGTGCACTTACCAAATATTAAAATCTCTGTAAAGAAGGCAATGAATATAACAAAAATAGACATATGAAAATAACATGCAAGAAAAAAAAAAAAATCTGAAACACAAAGCAATATAGGATTTTTATATTTACCCCCATCATTTTGATATCTGTATTTTAAATATTGGGATTTGATAGCATCTAAACATTGTAAAATTATCATCTTAATTAAAAAGAGTAAATGATAGTCTGTTGGGGTTATGAATATATTGATCAATTTTCTTTTATTTTGAGAAGAAGAATAATAAATATTCCATGCTTTGTTTGGACAACTTAACTGCTTGAGTTATTGTCACTACAATGTATCTACCAATCTATTCTACAGTTTTAGGTGTATAATTTGGAAAGAAGAAGAAGCAATGTTTGATTATTTTTTTCTCTCCTTTACAAAGCTGTGAATATTAATAAATGTTTTAGAATTTCCCATTCATCAGATCAGCTTTTCTCAACCAGGATTCCAATCAGAGGTTGCTAGGAGTTCAGCAAAAAAAAAATTTAATTTTATACATAAAGAAAAAAAAAAAAACAATACCTTTTTCAAAATCTCTCAAGATATTTTTATATAATAACTAGCAATCCCTGTTTTGGTGACATTTGACACTAGAAACACAAAAATATTTAACTAAGAAAAAAAATTAAAATAAATAAAAAAAGAAGAATTTTTGACACTTGCCATAATTTTTTTAAAAATTCAGCTGATTCCAACCTTTACATCTATTATTAATTACATATCATTATGCCATTCATGCTTTATATCTTTACTTGTCTATTTTGCACAAATGTTTGATGGTTCAATATGGAAATCTTTGAAGAGAAAAGGTGTTAAAGGATCCTAGCTCTTCATATGTGGATGCTTCTAACAGTGAATCAGATACTGATCAAATATTATTTTTCTCCTCTTTCAACAGAAATATATGAATGGGTGAGAGATCTTTATTCTTAACACAATGTCCAGCTTGAAATCTTTCAAGGAGAAGAACTGCGATATGACCAAGATGAGATTTACTAATTTGTCTTTGGATAAGTTCTGGGTTTTTGTTGAAGAACAATGGACATATTGTAGTTTTTAACTTCTTACATGTGTTTAACATACATCAAGAGCAAAGACAGAAATCACATCATTTTAGTGGAAAATAAAAATTGTGTATTTTAATTAATGTTCAACACCAAATTAAGTGTCTGAGCACAAATAAACAAGCACAAGTTTCACACTAAATGGGTAAAATTCATAATTTATATAGAAATTAGTGTTAAAAATTGTATTGTCTTCACTTGTATTTTTGTTCATATTGCTAATAAATTTCCAAAGTCACTTTTAATTCAGCAAGACTATCTTTAGAAAATTATGTTTTTCTTTGCATTTCATATTTAATAATTTTGTTTGCCTTTTTGAGTCCTTATATCTTTTAGATAATTATATAAAATCTATTAAGCTATCAATACTTTTTTCAAGGAAACTGACTTTTATTTTATCATTATTTTTTTATATGAAAGAGAGCAAAAAATGAATATATAGAAAAAAAAACATCTTTGTGCACACTGTAGACTACTGACAATTACTTTTAGATAATACATGTAAATTATTGGATATACTTTGTTTTTTATACTCCTTAAAACATGCAGATTATTTCAAAGGTTCCTAAAAGGTTGAGAAAAGCTGTACTAGACTAATGGAATGTACAATAGGAAATTTTGGATGCTTGTCAATCTTTCAATGAAGAATTATATGTTTTTGATTTTAGAAACTTATTAACCAGTGGAATGTGGATTTTATAATCCAATCAGTCAGACACTTGCATCTTTTTATATAAAAAAATTTAACATTTTTTGACACCTATATATATATATATATATATATATATATATATATATATAAAAACACTATATCTCACATTATTATGCATTTTCTTTCCTACTGTAGATATTTTATGGAAATATTTAAACTATTAATATGCAGAATATTTCATATAACATGTACAATTTATACTATATTACATATCACAATTTTTTATGAATTTTATCAAATTTTAAACATTTCACATTATTAGCCAGGTTATGAAACTCCAAGAAGCATTATTTTGTAAGAAAAAAAGAATTATAATTTTAGAATATGCACAAAATTTACAAAGACAAAAAAAAATGAAAACCAGTGCCAATGTGATAACAATAAAGTCATAAGAACAACATTAATGCAAAATGTATATGCCATGTTCTGAAACTAATTTTAGAAGTTTGTTCGTGCATTGAATTTGTGAGCTGTTGTATAACCCCTCTCTCTTCAGCCAAGGTAAGATTGAGCAAACAAGTAGTTCATCAAGCAAGTGTCAGTGATCCCCATTTTACTCTGATCTTCATTTGTTTTCTTTGCCAAATATGATGAAACAGTTTGCATATCTTTAAAACATCTTTTTAAAAGTAGATAGCTTCTTGAACCATGGTTCTATGTTTGTCTTCATAAATCAATTTTTGACTGTGCTATCATCTTAACATCTGAAAATCCTCATGAACCCAACACTTCACCACATAAAAGACATCACACAACATCCACTTTGTTGATATCTTAATATGTAAGGAGAGTTATTGCCAATAGTCACCCAGCAGTTGATCGATCATTCTGGCTCAAAAGTAGCACAACATTCCTTAGTGAAAAGAAGAAGGGCTGAAATAGCAGTCATTGTTTATTTTCCAACAATTCCTCACTGCTACAATACAAAAGACAGATTTACTTATAACTAACTTCTCTCACTTTGGTACGAGATACAGATTGGCAAGTCTTCAATTTACTTTTATCTGATCTGCATTGGTGTCATCCAGGATCTTCAATTAATTTCTTCAGTTTGTTGATGATACCTGTCAATCAATTTTGCAGTTTCCAGCATTGTCATTTTTTTTTTGCCTTTTGCATGCTCAGAAGTTATTAAACATCTCTCTTTTTAAAGCTTCAAACTCACAACATGGCTTTAATACTTCAAAATTCAGCACATTCTGTACAAATGGCTGCTATTGGTTCACATCAACACAGATTTTGCCATTATTCAGCAAATAAACTTTCAGATTCCACTAAGTATTTTTATATATAACATGAAGTAGGTAATGACATGACATGTAATCATATATGTGTGTCTGAGAAATAAAAGAAAAAAATTCTACTTTCATGATATATAGATTTTTCACGCATAACAGAAACAATGACTATAGAATAGTTACATTTTCAGGATTAAAAAAAAAAACTGTTCAGTGCAATATACAAATTTCTTTAAAGTGTATTCAGAATTGCAATGGACAGTTGATCACATCACTATAAAACAAAAAGATTCTCTTACTTTTGGGCTCCTATGTGATAGGATATCAAGCGGAAATTCCCATCGGGAGGCACAAAGGACAACACCCGTTCACTCTGTGAGGTATAAAAGAGTTTATTTCAAAATATGAATTATATGTAATAATCATTTATTGTATTTTATATGAAAACATTCAAAATGTCTTTTGTCTAAAATTTCACCAAAAAGACCATTATTCATTATTACTTATGTTAGAAAAGGTATTTTTATCATGAAATATTTAATATTTTCATTGAATAATCAGGGAAATTATTCCATGTCCAATTCAGTAAGTGCATAACATAAAAAAATATGATAAATTAATTCCGAGATACATCAACTATCTCAATATAACAAATTTGTATCATTAAGAATCCTTTTAATTTATCCAAATATCAGAAAATTTAAAATTTTAACTGACACCCACATTGCAATTTTACTTGGTCCATTCATCCTAAATTAATGATGTTTAATTATAAAGAGCTGTGTATCCAATTGCTGTAAACATAGCTGATATACAATTATGATTGACATTTCTGTCATAAAAAAAGCAAATAGTGTTCTCTTTATTTATTATTCATGTAAAGTCCAAAACGCAATCAAATTAAATTAACTTCACTGATTTGAGCCACTCCAATCTATTACCAGGAATTTTATCCCAAACACTGAATCATAATCAATAATTCCTTATAGTAAATACTATAAATGGCTTTATTATACAAGGCAATGTTTTCAAAATAAAATTGATAATCACCAACAAATGCTAGATATATTTATCATAATTGTTAGGGTTTGTGTAATACTAGCAACATTTTTATCAATGACAAAGTATAAAGATATAATTAGTAATAAACAGACTATAATAATGAGCTTTGTTTTTGCTCTGCTTTTGTTAAATACTTATCACATATCAGCACATATTTTTCATTCTTTAATTACATTTACGCTATCTCCATTCTATTATTACAAGACGTGATGTTAGCTTATCACATTTGAGCTAAAAGAGCACAAATAGAAAAAAAAAAAAAACTAAAACTGGAGTTCTATAAATAAAAAATAAAGTACAACAAAATTTCAAATATTTTTAAAAAAATCACCTAGTTCACAAATATGTTACTAAAGGAATTTTAACAATTTCTACTGGATTGAAATAATAAATACAATCTTCAAATCCATAAAGCAGAGAAATGATAACTTACTTCCCATCTCTTGAAGCGCACACATGGATGAAAACTGACATCATCCAGCAGTCGGGGGTTCATAAATGACAGTGTCAAGTCAGGCATTCCACTCAGTTTAATCAAACAATCAATCTGTCAATTAGAAAATGAAAATATACTTGAAATTTTGATTCACTTAAAAAAAAAATAAAAAAATAAAAAAAAATAAAAAAAATACCAACATTTAAAATAGCCAACCACCATTGCTGATAAATAAACATCATATTTTCTATTTTCAGTTTTTTTTATATATAAGTTTTCAAAACACTTACTGTTGTAGAAATTACCTTTTGTACTTTCCAATCATACCAAAGGATATATATTTTTCTACCAGATTAAATGAACTTTAGTAAGGAATATATAATACATTCCTTACTAAACTTCATTTAATTATTAAAAGAAAAAACATTGCTCTGTAAGGTGTAATTTTCGTTTTTAAGAAGTAGATTTCTCTGGTATTTTATCCACTGAGGTTTTCAACTTGGAAATTTTTTGTGAAAAATAACCTCAAATTTTATTTTAAGCCCACCAAATTGACAAGTAGTATGGAACTATTTTGATATGCATAGGAACACACAATTCAGAGAGCAACAAATTTCAAAACATAAGCATAAAATTCTTTGATTTTAAAATGTGGAAAAAGTGCTGAAATGTGTCCTCATTTAAAAGAGACTTGGAATAAAAAGTAATTATCACACAAGAGAAAATATTAATTTTTTTTTCATACTAATTTTATCAAAATAACCTTAAAAATACTCAAAATATTGCCAGTTGAACTTGAAGGAAATTTCACTATTTTTGCAGTATAAACTAGGCTGGTTTGAGATACCTAAAGTATATGCAAAGATGGGACATATTTCTAATGAAAAATACAAGATCCAATAAAAATTATTTCAAAATATATTTTATTTATGTAAAATGTTTTGAAAACCAATATATGATGATAAATAAAAAACATTTAATTCTTTTTAACTTCTTCCAAGCTGTAATCAAAACATACAAAAATCAGAAAAGTGAATAATGAAAATACTTACATAGCCTTGGACTTCAGCAAATACTGTAGCCCCAGATTTATCAAGAATTGCATCAATTTCCTCAATGACATCAAAGTAAGCCTCATTGTTTGTGTACTTTACGCCCGTCCTTCTCCAGGGAATGTTAGACAACTGGCCTGTTGGCAGTATTCCACTGACACTGTTCAAATAGACACTACATAAATAAATGTGAATTTTTCAACACATTTTAAGTAAAAAGATAAATGATATTTTTTCAAAATTCAATTAAGTAATCAATAAATTAGCTAATTTTCATTGAATCCTACATAGTTCTAGAACAGCTACTTTATTTTTAGATTTTTTAATTAGGGTTTGAATATTTTCTGTTCCTAGACATCAAATACAGTATAGTAAGTTATTTTTGGATGACAAATATTAACACTAAAAACAGTCTAAAACTTGCTTTAAATAAGCAAATGTATTTTCTTTTATTTTTTTTCCACTAACTTCATTATTTTCATGCAATTAAAACCAAAATTAAAACTTCAAAAGATATTTAAATTATTGCAATACATCTTGAAATTTTCTTAAAAAGTCTGTGATCATTGCTAAAATTTATGTTTTGTATCCAAGTTGAACTGAAATTATACAATTTATGAAAATATATTTTGGGATTATATAAGCACAATCTGAAAGGTGTATCTGGTCTACAAGCTTAGCTATAAACAAAAATAGTGTAACATATGCATTATAAAACACTTGCTTATGGTCAATCATGCTGAAGGCACCAGTTCCCATTTGATCACTGAAATTAAGCAGTATCAAGCCTGGTCAATACTAGATGGGTGACTTTGAAACACCCAGTACTGCAAGCAATGGCAGAGTTCATATTGCTCTGATATGATTCACCAGTGCCTTATACAGCACAGGTAGTCTCCAATTATCTTCACCGGCTCTTGTTATTGGATCAAGTTTGTCTAGTGTTGAGAGTCCGCAGTGTTGTGCAAACTAATAATTACTATAAACAACCATGTAGATACCTAATCTACTGTGGCCCATTTGGTGGCCATCTTTGTTCAATGAATGGGCAACCATTGTGTGCATGTAAGATGATAAGCCAGTGTAATTGAAAGAAGTATTAATCAAAAATTAATAATTCTACTGTTTTTATTCCTAAACAAAGAAAATTATACATTTAAATAAATTTTATGAAAAAAACTTTTAAATTTTTTAAATCTCTTATGTTTGTAGATCTCAACAAATTTATGTATTATTTGTGCAAACTTATTGAATAAAATTTCAGAAAAATTTACCTATTTTTTAAAGCAAAATCATTAGTTTAATATTTCATAGATTTAAGATTCAAGTCACTAAAATTCCTAACAAGGTCTCTTGTACTCACCCGGTAGATTTACCAGTGACAGTGTCTGTAATGGTTCTCAGTAAATTAGGAGGTTTAATCAACTCCTTGAGAACATTGGATTCTACTGCCAATGGGAAACCATTGTCCAGCATTTCATCAAGAAGCTACAAAGAGAAAAAGAAGACATCTAATGTCCAAGAACAATTTAAGGAATTAAAAGTTGAAAATATTAAATTATACAATATAACCAAAGAAAAACGTGTTTATTTTTGGTTACTGCCACATTACATTATTGTTGTGGAAAAATTTACAATATATTAATGCTGAAAACTATTACAATTATCCAAATGAATCTCAACTTCAATATCTTTATAAATTTAGAAGGCATTTAATATTTAGATCTTGGAATTTTGTCAATATGAAAGATAAACCTGAATGAACTGAAGAGACTAAACAGACACAACACCACAAAATAAAAGTCAATTCTATATTTTTTTTGCATTTGATCCTTTCATGAAATAAACATTTTTATTAAATATATAATAGCCTATTGTAAACATTACTCCTTTGATTTTAAATACTCATTTTTTGTTGTTCATTCATATTTATTTTCTGGAATTAAAGTATAGTCTTTTTCTGCATGTAAATCTTCTACAAAAATTTTAGAAGAAAATTTTTTTGAAATCAAACACAAAATGATGTTTTATGACTTATTTTGAAAATTAATGGCAATAAAAAGTTTAGACAAACATCTCAATGGGACTGTCATAGATTGAGGTCAAGAAGACAAATTTAATCTTATGTTTTGTTCTAAGATCCAGAAAAAAAGGATGGGCAGCCCCACCAGCTCTCCCTATAATGCCATGGATGCTATGTCAATACTCAACTACACAAAAATTTACTAAATACTGTTGAAAAACAAAATCTCAAATAATACTATTTACTACAGCAAGCACTAAACATGTCAAAATGGTCAATTGAATCTCCCAAGAAAATATATCTTTAATAATAAACTGAAAAGGATATATATTGTCTTTTTTTTTTTTTTATGAAGCTTAAGCAATCCGAAAACAATTACAACAATAAATCAAACAAAAACTTTTAATTAATTTTAATGTCTGTGGGATGATACCATTTATATGTCCTGACTTATTGTCTTGGTTTCAGTCACTTTCCCACTGCCATAAAGTGGCCTCTCTGTGTCTTTTCTATAAATACTTTCATGGTAATTATTTGGATGAGCTCTTCACTGTAATACCTAAACTTTATGAATTTAAGTGTGGTACTAGACTGACAATGAGGTTTCACCAATTTACAGTTGTTGGCTAGATGTAAGGATAATTTCCATGCCAACAGTTTCTTTTCTCACACTTCTCACTTGTGGAACTCTCTTCCAGTTCCATGCTTTCCAGTCAACTTTAATCTTCAAAAAATCAAAATGCAATGTCAATCACTATCTACTATCTTCCTGATTACTCTTTTGTTCTTGCTCCTTAGTATTGTTTCTGTTTTCTCATTCTCTTCTATACCCTCTATGTCTTCATGGCTTTACTGCCTTGCTTGAAGTGAATTAGATTTTTAAAAAATTAAAAATTATAATTTAAAAAACTAATGTTGAAGCACTTTTAATCTGCAATGGTTTAAATTAAACATTTTAATCAATTTGAATAGCAATGAATTGAAAAATTGAGTAATTAGTAATTGTACTTACTTCATAGACGATCACATAATGCTCTTTAATGGTTGACTCCGTGCACTCGGCAAAATAGTCTTCAAATGTGTCAAAGACGCGGTGCAAGAACTCAACCACAAAAAGAGGTGAGACTGAAAATAGAAATAAAATTATTTTCCATTAGATGCTAATATATAAGTAATACAATGACAGAAATATAAAACTCTTAAGTTAGTTATGACCAAGTAAAATTCATTTATAATCTTCTAGCAGAATGTTGAGAAGACAACCATCCCAAAAGATATCTGTCTTCTTACAACATACTCAAGCTATTTTGAAATGAGAAACACAAAATTATTATGAATAGAAATGAATTCCTTATAATTTAATACATTTACTGCTACATGGTAGTAGCTACATGGCATTTTTTGAACAGGAGTAGAGGTTTATCCCTTGTTTCCTGTTTAGGATTGTGTTTCAAGTTCCTTCAATACCGTACTTTAACCTCTTCAAGTCTAGAATTAGCTATTTTTCCTTTTTTACTCTAATAAAACTCCACACAGTAACCCTCTACTTCAAGTGGCCCTTGGGCCTTGTAATGGATGAACATTACTTGAAAAAAAAAAAAAAAAAAAAAAAAAATGAATATTGCTTCTGATACACACACAGCCATTCTTTAGTTTTACGTAAGGCAATACAAACAGCTACAGCAATGTAACTATTCATAGTGATTTTTTTTAACTTCAATTGTTTTTGCTTACTTAAAAAAAAAAAAAATAGTAAGACACACAAATGTGTCCCACGACACTATAGAGAAAAAAAAATCATTACCAAGAATGTACATAAGTTTAAACTTTAATGATACTAATTTATTTAATTTAAAGCTTCAGTCAACTTATGTAGCAATTTCTAGTGGTAACTACCATATATTTCTGTGTATAAGGCAACCTTTAAATCTTAAAAATTAACCCCAAAAATAAGGGATTGTCTAATACAAGTTACAAAAAGCTAACCTTAAATCCTATAGTGTATCAGCACTGGTAAGTAGGTTAGTATGCTTGTGCCATAGATGATGGTAGGTTAACAACTGCCTTGGTATGGTAACTATCAATGTAAATATTTCTAGTTGAAGCAATTCACATTATAATGATGTACTAAGTTATAAATGTAATAGAACTACTTTTACTTCTTGATTTCACATTAAAATGCAATACTGAAGAGATGATTATGCAACAGTTTGCAAAAGTTCAGCATGCACAAGTAACATAAACAAATTTTTCGTTCTTGATTTGTAGAGCTATGGGTGTATTCACACCAACCATTATTTCTCATAGAAGTGGTAAATAACATTCAAGATAACATACAGTCTATATTCCTAATTAATTAATTAACATTGTAGTGTTAAAAATCTTTTGTCACAGCTTATTTTCTCTCAAGAAATGGATTTTCATACTTTATAAGGGTAAAATATTGAAAAATGACTGTTTTATCATCACCTAAACAAATATCAAGGAAACTTTTGATCTGAACCTCATGAAACGAGGTATTTTCTGAAAGCAAAGGAGACATTCTTTCATTTAAAAGTAAAATTGGCTGGTGTAAATGACTCAAATTTTTTTTCAGTGGGTAAAATGTGAAAAAATAGTGAAAATTTTGCATTTTTTCTAGTTCTAAACAAAAATTTTGCCCATTAATGGGAAATTAACCATTTTTGGGAGAAAATCAGAAAGCCTAAATCATAATCAAACTATTTCAGGCATAAAAAAGAGTTTTGAAGGAAATCAACATTCCTAGGAGGACAAAGTCCATTGGTAATTTTCAATTATATGACTGCCAGGGGTTAAAAAAATTGACACCTGGCCACGAAAATCTTTAGTAAAAGGCAAAAGATTTATCTGCAATTCCTGACCACAAGAAACCAAAAGTTTGTTTTTTTTTCCCCAAAAAATAGCAGCATAAGGAAAATTAAACCAAATTGACTGACATCTCTGGGTCAAAGATCAGCCATCCTGCAATAAATGTTTAGAACAAGTTGTAATAAAACCCACCACTCCCAGATAAGAGCAAAGAGTGAAAAAAAAAAAGGGGGTCAACATTAGTAGAGCTTGATGTTTGAACAATGGCTTGATGTGTTTTGTTTTTAACACCCCCGTAACCCGGGTGATGACAACAACACTTAGCAGACGACATTGTTTTTTTTTTTACACATATCTTTCATATTTCCTATCGCCAGGCCATTTAGCCGTTCCTTTTATTCAATGATTTCACACCAAATGAAAGAGAAAGGGATGAAGTTTGAACGATATTATTTTGAAGTGAAAATAAATATTTTTTCCTAAAAAAAAAAAAGTGATTTTTCTCAGAAAATTGGGCATAATTTCTTAATGCTAACTGCCGAGTGACATTTTCCACAGCCAAATCAAAGATTAATTACCAGTGAATAATTCCATGTGCAAACAATAGCCATCTGGATCCTATAACATCACCCAAAAAGGTCCAAAACTTTACTGATTGATCGAAAACTTGTTGCGCATAATTGCGTTTTTCACGGTCAGTTTCCATTATTCCATCTTGATGTTATCATTTTCGGACAGCCAAGTCATCAAGGATTCAGGAAAACCATTTGGCACAAGTTTGCTTTGAGAACTTTACATTCTACGAGGTGTTTAAAATGTTACTGACGAATGAGATTTTTCACCAAATATTTCGTTTACACGCAATTCCTATATGACAATAACAAGGCTTTTAAACAACCATGTATACTACAGATATCAGATAAAATCATGGAAATTTACCTAGATTTTGGATCTCATCTTATCTATAGTTTGCCTTATACATGGAAATACATGGTAAGAAAAATATTGATGATATTATTTAAGAGTTCAAATCTCCACAATCACATGTTAGAAAAAAAAAAAGTATTTTTTGTGGTAGACAATAACAGGAAAATGTAGGTTTTGACATTATCTGTCTTGCAAATATGAACATAAGTTGCCGACTTGTTGATATAACTAATGAAAAAAATTATTTTATACAGCAAATGTTTATTTTTCAGCATAATCTCCTGCCTTGTCAATGCACTTAATTCAGGGGTGAATATTATTCACAAAGACCAAATATTTTCAGCTAAAACACAGATTTACTGGCCCAACTGTCATGCAAGAGAACACATTATCTAGCTGATTGAAATATAAAATCAGCTTCTAGTATTTCATCAATATATGTATTACTGTAAAAAAAATTTTTTAAATATTTTTATCCATGTTTCTTTTACATCATTAATAATGTAGTATTATAGGCATTGCCCTCAATTTCACACCAGATCATGAAGCAAGGTGCAGGAGTGACCTGAGATGAACCCCAACCAGGGAAGCACAATTCAACTGTTGTCAATAGTAACCCCAAGAGGTGAACACCTTTAGGCTTGGCTACACTGTGTGTGTGTGTGTGTGAGAGAGAGAGAGAGAAAAAAAAAAAAACACTAGTCAGATGAATATCTAAACATCCACGCCAGAGAGAATTTCAAGAGTCTTGCAAGTATCACAGATCCAGAATGTAAGTTCCATAACCAGGCCAAGGATGATGAAGCTACACACACACATCAGCTGACAGTAAGTGACAAATATTAAAATGTAATGTTAAGTAATGAAAGCACATTTAACCAGCACAATGATTTCATTACAATAATATTTTTGTGTTTGTTTTTATACTATTTTTTATAATCTCAAAAAATATTAATGCAGTCAAATGTTTAAAACTATTTAAATATGTCAGCTGTTTTGATAATGCAAAGCAATTTTTTAAAATTTAATTTGTTTTTAAAGACAAAAACTTTTGTATTAATTTTCTGATGGATATTTTATATTAGTTTTTAGCATCTGTCTATATTTCTGAGATGAAGTATTATCTACATTATTTACATTATTCGGACTATTGTCCTCATCTTTGTCACCATATTTATTACAATGTTTCGGATGTCTTGTACCCGCCTATCCCAGTTTTTTGGGGCTGCTGCCATGTACCCAGGGTAGTTGTTACGTTGTAGGGTACTACTGACCAATTCTTTATCTAGTATCTCTGGGTTGCCACATGACTTTTGCTCGGTGTTGTAAGCAGCGGATGATCCCTTTCTTTACGCTGTATGGATGGTGGGAGTTAAAATTGGGGTACTGTCCAGTAAATGTCGGTTTACGGATGTCTTGAACCCATCATCTGTTTGAGATATTAGAACATCCAGGAATGGGAGTGTGTTGTTACTATCTTTCTCCATTGTGAACTGTATCGAAGGTCTTATTGAGTTCTCATGGTCCAGTAGAACCTGAACATCTTCCTGGTGTGGCCAGAGTATGAAGGTGTCATCTACGTACCTTAACCATATAGTTGGCTTTAGAGATATAGATTCTAATGCCATTTCCTCAAAGTATTCCATGTATATATTCGCCATTGCTGGTGATAATGGTGAACCCATTGCTAAGCCCTCATCTTGATATATGTGTGATCCCATAAAACTGGGATAAGCGGGTACAAGGAGGAGGATAACAACACTCAGAAAACAGTCTGCCTGCCTTATGTGAAGGGGTTATCAGAGAAAATACAAAGGATCTGTGGTCCATATAACATCAGGACAACCTTCAAAAGCTTGATGACACTTCACAGATATCTCTTCCAAGTAAGACCCCCTATAGAGGAGAACACAACCAAAGACTGTGTGTATGCTATCCTATGCAGCTGCGGAAAGAAATGTACAGGGGAGACAGGGCGCCCCCTAAAGATAAGGCTTCAAAAACACCAGAAAGCTGTAACATGAGGGGAAGTGGAAAAATCAGGTGTGGCTGACCACATATGGAGAGAGAAGGGAGATCACCGTTCTCTGTGGGATCAGGTTGAGATCATAGACAAGGAACATCATTGGAAAATTCGTAAACTTAAGGAATCAGCACATATGCTGGGCTACAAAAATCTCTGACCAAGCATAGAAATGAATACAATATGGGAACCAGTAATAAGGAGTGCCAGAGAAAAGCGATAACAACAAAAGTTGCAATATAAGCTCTGGTAAAAACATGCAATGATAACAAAAAATTGCAATATGAGCACTGGTAAAAATAGTTGCTGAAGATATTAGGTTTTAAATACCCAGAAATTCATACACAGATGTCCTTAAGGACACATGGCACAGTGGATAAAGGCATTGGTTAGATCCAGTGACAGGACCCAAATACCCAGTTAAGGCAGTGGAAAACTTTCAGAGGGAAATTAACTGATAAATGACATCCATTATAAACATGGCACGTAGAACTAGAACAGTCTACCCCAGTGAGCAAAATAAAGGGTTCAGTTCGACATTCTAACCACCTGAAAAAGGCCAGAGCAAACAATGGCCAAAACATAATAAATATGGTGACAAAGATGAGGACAATAATGTAAATAATGTAGTTTTTAGCAAAATTGAAAAATATTATTGGAATAATTTTTAAAACAGTTTTTCACAAATGGAAAAAAAAAATGAACCTAAAAAGTTAAAATAACCTTTGGTTATAAAATAAATCAAATGAACAGAGACTGATTCTTCTTGATTAATTTTTGCATTAATAACAAAGCTTTGTGATCAAATACCTTCAGTTGTGACGACAGCAACAAAATAAAGTTGATTTCTGTAAATGTTAATGAGGTAATGATGCGGTGTTGCAATAACTGGAGGGATGTCATCTAGTGAACCACTCTGTAAATACACATACAATACATTTAAGTGAATAATAAAAAAACAAAAACAAAGCAGTTTCTCATTATTTCCATTGTACAAAGAAAATTTAATCCCAAAACTCACCCTTCCCTGCACTTCAAAAAAGTAATCACATATTGATTTATGAATGACACTCTTCCAATGTTTTTCCATAAAAACATCTCTGAAAAAGACAAAAATAAAAGAAACTAGTTTCATTGATGTCAAAAATGATGAACAAATGAAAGAAATTTTAAAAGTAAAAATAAAAAAATATATAAAAAAGGGTTCAGAGTGTCAATATAATTTACCAAATGTATTTTTGTCCCTCTGTATCATGACATAACTAAAGGCCAGCTAAAGCTACAGTGATTTTCTAAATGTATCTTAGATATCTGTCTATATTTCTGAGATGAGATATTGTAATTATTTACATTGTTTGGACTGTTGTCCTCATCTTTATTACCATATTCAAGACATTTCAGCCATTGTATGATCTGGCTTTCTTCAGGTGATTGGAAAGAGAGAAAACAACACCAAACTCACATTTCTGGATGTACTAATATCTTGAACAGAGCATGGGTTCAAGACATCTGTATACCACAAGCCAACATTCATCAGACAATACCTCAACTTCAACTCCCACCACCCATACAGTGTAAAGAAAGGAATCATAAGCTGCTTACAACATCGAGCAAAAGTCATAAGTGGTGACCCAATGACATAGGAACAAGAAATGGTCGGTATAAGCAGTACCCTACAATGTAACAACTACCCTAGTTACATGGCAGCATCTCCAATGAACTAGAATAGAAGGGTACAAGAGGAGAACAACACTCAGAAAAAAGCTTTCGTCTGCCTACCTTATGTAAAGGGATTATTGGAGAAAATACAAAAGATCTGTGGTCCATATAACATCAAAACGACCTTCAAAAGTGGTTTGACACTTCACAGACACCTCTTCCGAGTAAGAACACCTCCCCCATAGAGAAGTACATGACTGTGTGTAATGCCATCTCGTGCAGCTGTGGTAAGCAATATAAAAGAGAAACAGGCCACACCCTTTAGGTAAAAGTGCAAGAACATCATAAAACCATAACATGAGGGGAAATAGAAAAATCAGGTGTAGCTGATCAAAAAACAGAGGTAAAAAGGGAGATCACTGCCACCTGTGGGATGTGATTGAAGTAATAGACAGAGAACATCACTGGAAAATATGAAAACTTGAAGAATCAGCATATATGCTAGGCAACAAAAACCTCCTAAGCCATCCACACATGGAAATGAATACAATATGAGAAGCAGTAATATGGAGTGCTAGAGAAAAGCAATAATAACAACAAAATTGCAATATGAGATCTGGTAAAGAAATAGTTACTGAGACAAGTCTATGTGTCCTTGAGGATATGTGGCCCAGTGGATAAAAGCGTTGGTCGGATCAAGTGACATGGCCCAAAGAGTTGTGAGTTCAATACCTGGCTATCGCAGTGGTGAACAAAAACTTGTAGAGTTGAGTTAAAGGGAGATAAGAGACGTGACAAAATAAATTCCAATCATTTGAAGAAGGCTGGAGAATACAATGAACAAAACGTCATGAATATAGCAATAAAGATGAGGACAACAGTCCAAACAAAGTAACACATCAGAGTAAAAGGATTTTCTAAGCATAGCTTAGATGTGGCACAAGACTGAAAATATGAGGATCAAACTCACTATTTAGTTGTAAGCTTGCTAACCATTACACCACATCTAAGTCCCCTATGGCTGACAAATGTCCTGTGGTTACTGACTCAACCCATGAGCATGGTTTTAGCATGTTAGTTTTTGAAAATTTCAAAACTTTTTTATCTCGTGAAATGGATTCATTTTACAATTATAATGCTAAACTGAACTTGTAATTTTGACCGATCAGGTTTGCTTAACTTAATGTTAATATTTTTGTTGAACCACAAAGCAGACGTTGAGCTGGAAATCAAAGTTATGTTTGTTTGTTTGTTTGTTTGTTTGTTTGTTTAAAACTTAACGACCCATCGATCAGCAAGAGATCATTTAAGGTCAAACAGTTGGGTTTTTTTTTTCTTTAAATAAGGTTGAAATGCTTTCAAAAACTTTCACTTTCCTTTCATTCTTTTTCGATGTTGTCTTGCTTTTTGTTTTAAAAAATTCACTGTTTTCAGAGGTGCGTTCTTTGAAAATTTCTCACTTTTTTCCGACAAGTATCAAAAAGTTTCCCTTTTCATCATCAGACACCAAATTGGAATTATATTTTATTATATAGTCCAACTTTCCTAAGAAATGTCAAGATCAAATTGGGGTTTGATTTTTCGAAAAGTTCTTTCAAATTGTTCACGTTGTAAAATAGAAATCAAAGTTATAACCTTTTTTCTGTCACCTTGCTCCAATAAATAGGCAGAGGCGATGCAAACTTAAAAAATATTATGCTATTGCATTTACACTTGTATTATTAGAAGCAATGGGCATCTGGGTGGTGTGGGACAAACATTCCAAACTAGAGGGTTACTATGGCAGTGACCCTGATGGAGTCATAATAGTGCATGAAACATTGTTTGTTTAGTGACTTGATTGATTCATTCATTCATTTTCTACAACTTAACTCTTTGCAGGTTATTTAAAGCCAGAAAATAGTTTTAGGTTGTAAAATTTTTCTTTTTAGATAATAATGATTTAGTGATACAAGTCTTACTAATTAACCCATAGCTGGGGAGAAGAAGAAGAGGTGGATTCATACATTTCCCAAGGGTATTTGTGTATAAGTGAATATAATGAACACAACTGGAATCTTAACATGTTCAAGGGTAGGGTTAACTAACTGTTATCTTCCCCTCCTATCCGCACAAATTGCCTCCTAACGTAACCCTCTACCTCGAGTGGCCCCCGGGCCTTGTAAAGGGTGAACATTACTGTAAAAAAATAAGAAATAAAAATAATGAATGACCATTTAGGCCTTCCATATGGCTTCAAATCCAGCTCGTAAACGTAAAGAAAGCAGGTTTTCAACTAGCAATATTATAACAAGATTATTACCATACATTCATTTTTTTTTAAAAAATCAACATTTAGTTGAGCAAATTAATAATGTTTTCTTCTCTACTCAAAGGATTCGAATTAAAACCGAGAAAGAGTTTTGATAATTTTCACAAAAAATGCATTATTGAATTGATTTACCAAACATAGACTGAAAATATTTAAACTAAAATTACAAAAAGCAGTTCATTTTTTTGGTTTTCTTTTTAAGCAACATTTTTTTCTTCTTTTTATATTGATTATTACTCCAAAACAATAATTATATAAAAGAAAAAAACTATTCTAATTAATTCCAGTAACATGTGGTTTCAGGTTTACGTACAACTGGGGCATTTGTTTTTTTAACATAAATTTGTTTTTACTTTTTTAGGCCTACTACAAAGAGGTTACTTTTTTTTGTTGACAATTAAACCACTTTACTTTAGGTATTTTTATTAAAATAGTTTGTTTTTTTTATTATTTGAATTTGTTATTTTGTGTATCTATCCCACTTCTATTGATTTTTTCATTCAATTTAGAAAGGTGAAACTAAATGTTTAAGTTCGAGAAAGAAATCCCTTAATCACAAAAATTAATATTTCATGTTTCGCTATGGCAGAAAATAGATTAATAAAACGTTTTTTTAATTAAATAACTTAACTGAATTTGTAAGAGAATAGGCTTCCGTTTTTAAATGATTTGATGATACAAAAAAAAAATGTATTTTTAACGTAACCATACCATGTTTATGTTTTCCGGTTTGTTTACTATTTTAATAAAGATATTCAACTATTTCATTTTTTTTTTTTTTAATAATTGATAAATACATCAAATACTCTATTGTTTCGCTTAAAAACATATATATATCGCCTCGCCATGAACATTTTCGCATGAAAAAAAAAAAAAGAATTATTACTTTATTTTGAATTAGTTTGGTTAACTTTCCAAAGGTTATCTCAAATACATTTATTTATTTTACTTACTTTTTCAGTTAGAAAATTATACAGTTAAATGAATTTAAAACACCATAATCATTTTTATAACGATGCCAATGAAAATAAGTGGTTTTGTTTACGAATGTTAAGAAAAAAAATAACAGCACACAATATGAATGAAATTAAAGACATACAGTAATATTAGAAAGATGACTTACCCAGAGTTATTGATGATAAACAAACTATGAATCATATCTGTTTTTACTTCTTTAAAGCGCAGAATTCTGGCTAGTCGGATATGGTTTTACAAACTGATGGATGGCGACAACACCAGCAGAACGACCGAAATTGTTGAAAGTTTCGCCACCCACATCTTATGGCCACTTACGTCATTCGTTAAAAGAAAAATTCTTTATTGCTAAAAAGTGAAAAGGATTTTATTTTTTAATAATTTAAAATGTCAATAACGTGCATTTTTAGATTGTTTTGATCTATTTATTATACGTATATAATCGTCAAATATCCTATTCTCACTGTTTGTTATTTATAAGCCCCTTATAACATAATAATAGTAAGGGAGGACTGAGGGTTGGACTTTACACGTGTGCGGATAGAACCTGGAGTTTCCTTTTCATAATTATACAATTTTAATAAGTTGCTAAAATGTTTAAATTACAGTCAGTAGTATTAGTTCTTTCAGATATGCGTCTATATTTGAGTATATGTAACCGTTGTAACGTTATATACTACGATTATATAGTAATACACAGTTTTTAAATTTCTCTTTCAACTTTTTTTTACCTCTACCTACTTTTTCGCTGAAAAAACAGCATAGCACTAGGAAAAAAAAGACCCCAAACTTAATAAAAACAAAGTTTTGTCGTCAAGATGTTGATGTTATTATTAAGAGGAAATTATTAAATTTATTATTTTATTAAATTTTTTAATCATTTCTAGCACGTTCGAAATTTTGGTTAAAAATTTTGTTTTTTACATCTGCGGTGTACGTGAGGTGAAACAAAACATTGATTTGGAAATTCTTGCAAGAATCAAATAAATGTTGGATTTTAATTAAATTTTCAGGATTTATACAAAAACGAATTAAATTATTTTTGAATTTTTTTTTTTTTTTTTTAGAAAATCTCGGTAAAATTATTTTTTTTACATACCCACCACCCACTTCACTTAATTTCTTGAAATTTCGAGAAATTTTGAAAAAATCTTTATTAAAAGCAGGATTTCTTGGAGAATGTAAAATGTAAATCATTTTTTTTTAACTAGTATACTCATTTACCAATAATCTGTTCCGAATTGTAAAATAAAAAAATGCAATAAAACTATGACATTTGTTAGAAAATAAACTTTTAATTGCTTTAAATAAGATTTATAAAAGATACCCTTAAGGATTTTTTTTTACAAGAGTTGTTTTCACTTTTTCTCTAAATTTTAATTATAATAATTTAAATCGTTTAAAATTCTGCATTACTTTTCCTAGGTTGGGTGATATTGTTATTAAGTGAAAACTATGTTTATATAGTGGAACACACCTATTCTATAGTTAATAGACTCTCCCACCTATAATAAGTAAGAGTAGTAAGAGTAACAAGTCAGTCGCTCAGGGGGGTTCGGTCAATCAGTCGATGCCGGACGACCATTAGTCGGATACTAAAGTATCAGCAACCACAACTAGAGTTCTCTGCGTCATTACCTATTATATCAAGTTCCTAACATTTTGTATGTCGAACCTATTTTAGGACCAACTTAGTACAAATACAAGCTTCCACTGTGAAACCACTCCACAACAATTTACAAATCAAATTGAAAAGTTTAATAAAAGTCCTTTTGCATCAAGATTTTTAAAATAATTTTTAAATTTTTTTATGTATATAAAATATTATGTAACATGCCCGTTTAAAGTATGGTTGACCATACACAACATCAAAAAATAAGAGCAATAACTATAGTAAATTTAAAATCAACATTACTAAAATTAGATTACAGAGAATATTTTTCAACATTTTAAAGATTACTGAGCACTTACTTAATTATATAAAAAAGCCGCTCACCCATCTTAAATTATGTTTTAACAGATAAAGTCTCCGTAGAACGACAATAAAGGTGTTGACACATTTATCATCACTTGTTAAGACTTGTTACAGTTAATCTTGGTTCCCATGACCATTTCATACTGTTCAAGCGCCTTCTTTACTACTTCAATGTAACTGCAGCACAACATGAAAGTAGATACATCATCAGTGTACGCGGAAACCCTGACTCAAGAACTACCAGGTACAGCGATTCCATGAAGGGCCTGACTGCATGCTCTGTGCTTTACTCGGCAAAGGAGAGGCTCTAATACCAAAGCATAAAGTAGCAGCAACAGTGGGCAACCCTGACGAACTAACTGAGACAGCGCAAAAGCATGTATTAGTATGGTGGTATCTGCCACACAGAGTTTACCGACTCTTTTGTGTTAGGAAGAATAACGTGTTTTAGCCTTCCAGTAGCACACCGATACTAATATTAGCATTAGTGTAGACATTGATACACTAACACTGAATACGAATATAGAAAGATGAAATCTATCTATCATAACAAACCAAAACATTTAATAAGGCAAACAACTTACATACATATATTCACAAAATTTACATATTGAGAACAAAGAAATAACATACCAACTTTATGGCCTTTGATCGTCCACAGATAAGTGAATAGAAAGTACGTTTTTCTTTCGTTAGGCTGTGCACATGTTGACCAGTTTCCACGTGTGTGGACACCCTGGTGGTCAGGAAGGTAAAGAGGCTGTTCATCCCAGAACGGAAGCAAAGATAAAAAGAGCAGAAGAGTTCTACTCTCTAAAAGGGGCCAAAACTCTCATGAGCTCAACCCAAGGGAAAACAACTGTGGTCTCCCTACACATGTAACCGCTTTCTGTTCACCTGCACCACAGCACTGGGGGCATGATACAGAAGACCAATCCACTTGAAAAAGCCAGGTTTGAAACCAGTGGCCAGTAAGATAGCAGCCAGGTACTGATGATCAACCCTATTGAATGCCTTGAACTGATCCAAACTGATCTGCATGGCTTTATCATCATCTTTTACATCCTCTTTGATCATATGGAACAGATGCAGATTGCTCTGAATTGTTCATCCCTTCATAGCACAAATCTGCTTGGATTCCAACAGAATCTCGGCAACTGACTACAGTCTGTCAGGATCTTGGCCAACATCTTTAACTCTGTGTTTAGCAGAGTTATGGGCTTGTTATTATTTAATTCCTACCGACTTTCCTTGCTCTTTTTCATCAGTGATCACACCCCTGGTGATCAAATTAGGATGGCCCCCTGCTGGAGCTAGTTAAAATCAGCACAAAGATGTGTGTACAATTCATAGGGTAAACCACCAAGTCCTGGAAACTTGCCATTGCTAAATAGACTTTGCCCTCTATGATCTCACCCTTACAGCTAGCTAAGCTAAGGAAAGTCAGCCAAATAGCTGAAAAACTCCTCATCACAAAGACTAGGCTCCTTGGTTAACTGGCTCTTGAAATGCTGCCGAAACATGTTGCACATGTCATGAGTCAACCTCAGTATCCCGTTCTGTGGCCTTGACCTCACTAATGTAGCAATTGGGACCTCAACAGATCTCCAAGATTTATTGCATATAAAATACAATTGTGGCACAAGGCCTAAAAGGGGGAATGGGTTGAGGCTGGTTGTCACTTACTATCTTATACCTATCTTGACCTCACAAATATAGCAATCAGAACTTCAACGGATCTCTATACTAGAAAATGATCACAGCATCTGGGCTGCAGAACAGATTTCAAGGTCAGGTTGTGACACAAGGTCAGTTTAATGTGGGGAGCCCAAGCATGTACATCCAGGCTAGGAACAAAAATTGCCTGAGCCCCCGCAACCGTAGTTTGCACTGGCCTCAGTGTGAGCACAAATCACTCTCTCTAGTGCAATGAGAGGGCACAGTTTCAAGCATCTGTTCCTCCGGGGCTGGACACCTCTCAGTATAATTTTCCTCAGTTGCAACTCTGTTCTTTGACGGAGCCGCCCCTGAGCATATGCTGCAACTGAGAGATAATAAATAAATGTGTTACAAACTACTCAAGAGCAATTTGAACAGATTATAGTCATTGTGTTTGAGTATCAGTCTTACAACAATGCTGGTTAAGCTTTTTCTTCCAGTTTTCTTTTTTTTTAATATGTGAATACCAACAGGGTACAACAAAACCAAAATGATACCAACATTGCCTCCACCCGTAACGAGTGTAAGCGTGTCCTCAACGAAGCTAAGTCAATATTTGCTGCTCGAATGAAGGAACGTATTGCATTTGGCTCCAAAGATTATTGGCGAGTCTGCAAGAGTGTCCTGAATAATCGAAAACCCTCCATACCTCCTTTATTCAACCAGTTTGAGGTCTTGACCTCCTCTACCGACAAGGCTGAATGCTTTGCTCGGAAATTCTCATTTAATTCAACACTCAACTCCACCGGTGTACCCATACCAGACTTCCCTCTTAGAACTGAGGCCTTACTGAGCGGCTTACACATAACCCCGTCATTGGTACTGGGCATTATCTCCACCTTAGACCCCCACAAGGCTAGTAGTGGAGACGGCATACCAGCCTTTGTCCTGAAGAAATGCGCACCTGAGCTAGCACTCTAAACTGTATAATTACTGCCTCAAGGAATCATGTTTTCTGACTGCTGGAAGTCCTCATCCATTGTTCCTGTGTTTAAGAACTCTGGAGACCCCTCTGACCCCACTAATTACCGTCCTATTAGTCTCCCTACCCATCTTCGGCAAAGTCTTGAAGCCCTAATCAATGCGAAGTGGTTAATCACCTCATCCATAATCTGCTCTCAGACAAGCAATATGGTTTCTGCTCGCCCGATCTACAGCTGATGTGCTTACGGGCCATCACTGAAACCGTCTACCAAGCCCTTCAAAATAATGGTGAGAGGCTCGTGCTGTGGCCCTCGACATCTCAAAAGCATTCGATAGGGTTTGGCGCCGGCCTTCTTCGTAGCTCAGGGGGTATGGTGTTACTGGTCAACTGTTTGATCTAATACAATCATTCCTGTCCAACCGAGAATTGAAGGTCGTTCTCAATGGATTCTCCTCCAGTTCCTATCCCACTAACGCAGGTGTGCCCCAAGGCTCCATCCTTGGCCCCACTCTTTTCCTTATTTTTTCATCAATGACCTTCCTGAAGCTATAGATTCCCAAGTTG